GATTCACGGGGATATAAGAAGTGTGTCTTAGACACTTCCTACTGAGCTTATGCCCACCCCCTTATTTTAAACATTTTTTCAGGATATGGAATAAAGGTGGCGGACGACGGTCCACCACAGGTTTAGATGAGCTTGAAGACCCATTCTATTTTGTTATCTTTTGTATTAGACTCTAATATTTTGTAAATGTAATATTAACTACCTTGTGACACTTTAGTTTAATTAGTATAATGTTGTAAGCTATGGACTTTTAATTCTAGCTACATTTTATGGACTGTAATTTGATGTAACTTAAGTGGGCTCCATGTTTGGATGAGATGGAGGAACGGGACTTTTGTATGTATGTAACTATTTTGGGAATGTAGTATAATATTTAAATTGTGCGTTGGGACAGGATAAGTTAGATTTAAGGCCCAGTGAGGCCATTGCATTTATTTTTGTATTTCTACAGGTTGTTGAGGGACATTTTCTGCGGAAGTCATGCCGTAATTTTTATAGATTTTATTATTATTTTAGTATCTTTTCGAGTCGTTACAAAAAAAGTTGGTGCTCTATAGAGTAAGTGAGGTCTAAGCAGCCAAGAATTTTGTGGGGGTAATGCAGTCCATGCAGTGTCCCTAATCATGCAGAAAGTAAGTTAGTAACTCCGTTCAGGGTTATTCTTGTAGCCTTGGATGGTCATTATGGTGCAGTTGTCGTCCGGCATATTATCTGGTTCTATTTGGGAGTGTGGAGGGGGCGAGGAAAAAATGATCTTCTTGAAGAACTTGATGGTTTTGTATGCCTATAGCAAAATTTATGAAATATAATTGACATTCGTTGCATTTTATATTATCCATGTTTTATTTAAATGTGTTGTGCTTTGTGTGTGTTTGTGTGTAATTAGTGAATTCTTTGTATCGGTCAGTTCGGGATTCGAATTGAGGTTGTTCACTTGATAACATATGTATTTTTGTATTTAATGAATGGGTTCATAAATGGAATATACAAATTGATGCAAATGTGCTATCATAAATGATTTATTATCGGTGATAAAGGATGGACTATTAATCAACAAATAAATGAACTAGATCAAGGATAAGTCAACTAGGTTGTGAGAGCCGTTGTAATAATTGTTCCTTATCATCGTCACGACGAATGACTCTCAAGCATAAGAGAGGTATAAATTCTTATATTAATTAATAATTGCTTTGATTTATTCGGTAAGCCCAAAGATCTAATAACCGGTACTTTGGGTAATTGTTAATTAATAGCTTGGGAATATACTCTCAATAATTGCATCTGTGCTATTATATATATATATATATTAACTTAATTAGTTTGATCATGAAAAAATTCGGAGGCCGTTGTGTGTTTTCAATAAAATTATTATATATATATATTTATTTATTAAATATATCATTTTATCAAATTAATTGATTCATGTGATCAAATGGAAAATAATCAAAGAGTCAAAAATAAATGAATTAATTAAGTAGTCAAGTTGATGATACTTATTTATCCGATAGCTAATTAAGTATAGAGGGGTCATTATGTAAATTGACTTAGCGGTTAACCATTTTCTAATTGGAATTCAACTATTCTTATTTAGTGGAGTTAAGAATAGTTAATGGGTTAATTGAATTATGTAGTATTCCTATATTTTAAAGGATTTATTCATTTAAATTATTTTTTTTTTATTTTATTTTGGTTTAGTTGATTTATTTAATTTTAATAGGGTGTTGAATGATTGTTGGACTATTTTGCTTGTTTCTATTTAAATTGTATTTCATGATTATTGATTGATTTGATGTGTTATGTTAATTAAATTGCATGCTAATTATTAGTTTGTTTGTATGACAATATTTATTTGTGAATTTTGTGCATTTATTATTTTGTTTAATTGTTTTATTTATTAAATATTTAATAGATTGGGTTTAAGAAAGTTTGGACCAAAGGATGTGGTCTTGGGTTTTAGAAGAAGCCTTGATATATGGATTAAGTAGACAAAACATATGGTCATAATTGATTATATATATATAATAATATATATGTATATTAAATGATATATATATATATATATATATATATATATATATAATTTACATTTTCGTATTATTATATTTACACGTATTATTCTGTCAGTTATGTGGTACTTTTGGAATTAGAGTGTATGAGAAGGGTTTCACGTTAGAAAAGAAAAGAGAGCAGCCGAGAGAAAGAACGAAGAGGGAACGAGAGAGAAGGAAGGAAGAAGGCTGAGCAAGGGGGCAAGGCCGGATCAAATTATTTACGAGTTATCAAATTATTCTAGGCCGGATCAAAAGGTTACGAGTTATCAAATTATTGGAGTATGGTTTTATTTAGGAGATGAGATTTAATAATCATTAGAGGTCTTTCAATGATTTATTTATTTATTTTTTATTATTTTGTAATCCGTGCTTGTTTAAATACTTAATTGTTTTGATATTCTTATTTTTGAGTATGGACTTCATCAACCCATTTCTAAATTAGGAGTATTACAAATTGGATCAATGAAAATTGACTGGGTCAATTGTTAACCCATTGGAGCCATGAAAGAATGGGACCAATGGTCTCATTCCTAACCCAATGTGATTATTTGGCTGGAGATTGGATTAACAGGTTTTGGTTAGCGAATGCTTGATTTTTGTTTGAATATTTAAAATTTAAAAGATGGATAGGGTGAGCCTATCTGATAAAACAGTATCAGAGATTGGTACATATAACTAGGGGTGGCAAATTAGTGGGTTTGGGTTGAGTCGAAAATGGGCGGGTTAAAAATGAATAGAGTCAACCCGTTATGACTCGTGAACTCATTAATTATTTTTTTAATTTTTAATTTTTTTATATTAAAAGTTAACAAGATTTAACATATATTATATGTTTGATTATTCATCACGTGTGTCTTAAGAAAACGCAACTTAATTATTTCAAAAATAAAATAAAACTTAACTGTGGAGGTAATATGCATTTATATTGAGAGGTACAAGTACAACACATTACAATAGAGTGCTACATGAATCTTCGATCTAATATGTTTGGGTTATTAGTTTATAATTAATGCAAAGAACCTGTGTTCCAAGTCCCTTAGTACATTATCTCATTGTGAGACCATTCACTTGCTCGTAAATAGATGATGGGGTAATTACACTTACCTCTCTTAAGGTTGGGGGTAATTACAGGCGGTACCCTTTACGTTTAAAAAATTACACCGTCCTCCCTCAAGGTTTGTTCCGTTGTAACACTTAGTCCCCTCCGGTGAAAGTCAACGCCGGTCAATGGTCATTTTTGATGACATCAGCCATTTTTAAGTATGAAATACCACATTTGCCCTAAACAAATTACAAAAGATATTTTTATTTTTATTTTTACTTAAAATTACTTATATACCCCCATTTTATATACCCTCCACCACCACCCACCTCAACTAGCCCCTAGATTCACTCACTACCACAAACCCTAAAAACAGATCGAGACCCAATTCCGTTGCCGGCTAGCTTGCCATCGCATGAAAATCAGCATAGCCACCATATGGATGAGATAAATAGTCAGCTCAATTTCTATCGCCGGCAAACTTGTCGGCCGCACAGCCACCGTGGATGGAGCTCATGCGCCTGCACCGTAATCCGATCAGTCTGCATCGATTGTGGCGCTACTGATTTTGTAGGGCCGGCTGCGAGATGGTCTCCAGCGGCGGCGACGATGTGGTGTTGATTGTAGTGGTGGAGGAAGAGGAGTGTTGTAGAGGGACTTGAGCGCAGGCATTAACAGGGGAGCCGAAGAGGGTACAGTGGTGATGAATGGAAGAGCGTACAATGGCGCTACTGATTTTGTAGGGTCGGCAGCGATGATGATGGCTCTACTGATTTTGCAGGGCCAGCGGCGAGGGTCTGTTAAGGCCGGTGACGACATGGTCTCCAGCAGCGGCTTCATCCTTTTGGCCCATTGCGCCGGAACCGTAATCCGATTAGTCTGCATCGATGGTGGCGCTACTGATTTTGTAGGGCCGGCGGCGAGGGTCTATTAAGGCCGGCAACGACATGGTCTCTAGCGGCGGCGGCGGCGACGTGGTGTTGATTGTCATGGTGGAGGAAGATGAGTGCTGTAGAGGGACTTGATCGCAGGCATTAACAGAGGAGCCGAAGAGAGTACAGTGGTGATGAATAGAAGAGGGTACAGTGGCGCTACTGATTTTGCAGGGCCAGCGGCGATGATGGTAGTGCTATTGATTTTGCAGGGCCGACGGCGATGATTCGTTAAGGCTGGCAACGACATGGTCTCAAAATTTGACCAGTTGAAACACTCTCTCTCTCTCAAAATTTCTTGGATCCACCAAATTTTCTTCTTCCTCAACCTCCTTATTTTAGGTCATTACCGTTGGCTTCACCTGTGGTATATAGTGCGGTGTTGGTTGTCGTTGTGGAAGAGTCCGCCTATTATGATGGTGGTGGTTGTGGCCGTGGCGCCACCACGGTCACACCCGTGGTAGTTGTATGTGTATTTGTACATGTAGGTGTGTCATTACATAAGTATAATTTTATTTTTGGACAACATAGTCATTTAACATGATCAATGGCCGGAATAAAATGCCTATTTGTTTGGAGGGAGGAAGGGTGGTCAGTGTAATTTTTGAAACGTAAGGGATACTGCTTGCCTTATTGGTGTGCATGAGAGTTTTTGTTATTAGTTTATAAATTGTTTAGATAAATTTTTTTTTTTTTTTTTTTTTTTTTTTTTCTTAGTTGGGACAATTTAAATTGAATCAAAATTGAATCCAACAATTTGCAATAATTGTTGCGCCACCACGGTCACACCCCTTGTGAAAAAGTAAGAAGATTCCAAATTGAATCCAACAATTTAAAACATACACGAATTGAAGATGTTACATGATGTATCAACGAAATTTTTCAGACAGTATTAGTGACATACAAAGATCCCAACTATGTAGTCACGTAAATGAATTTGCAATAATGTATTGAAAAATTTGAAACTAGGTAAGGTTAGAGATATTGTGAACCAAAGAGGAAGAAATCCAAGTTTTTTTTGGGCATGTACTCATAAATTAACATCTTCTCTTCTCCATAAATGCAACACCCCAGAAGTCGAACAAGATTTGTATGGTGGAGTTTGGCAGTGAGTATAAGTTCATTCTTGAACTCCACAAGTCCTTGCCCAGATGTTCTTGAAAGTCTCTTAATTGCTATTTCTCGGCCCTCACGGCAATCTTCCCTGTTATATAATGATTCACGGGTCATTGAATTAATTTATGTTGGACAAGTACTAATCAATTTTTTTATTAGTTATTATTATTATTGTTGTTGTTATTGTTGCATAAGTAGCATTCAACTTTATCCAGTAAAAATTGCAAATTACCTTGTAAACAGGTCCAAAACACCCTCTCCAAGCTTATTTTCCTTTGAGAAGCCATCTGTGGCATCCAAAATAGAGGCAAAGCTAAATATCTTCAAATCATGACCTTCCCTCACATCATTTTCGGCATCATTTCCATTGTTAAGGTTGTCTGAAGCTGTCAACTGAAATAAGTATTGTTCTTGCATTTTTTTCTCCTCCCCTGCTAGCAAAAACACTATTAATCCAACTTACCACTCACAAGCATATTCAGTATCTTCGTATATACATATATAAAATAAAATTATTATTTATAAGACATATACCTTCGTTTCTAAGCTTTCTCCTTCTGAAATAGTAGAAGAGGCCCAAGCTAAGCAGAAGTAGAGAAATTGCTACAAAAATAATTAACCATATCCACCACTTATTTCCTGCATGAGAATCAATTGTTAAATTATTCAATTACCAATATGATTTTCATGTATCATATTATATCTACATAAGTCTAGGATCCAGTGCTTTGTCATCACCACTATGCAACATGATTTATGCCTCCATTGGTTATCTGAACCCTTTCCTAGTTAAATCCTTGGTGTTTTTCCTTCGCATTCTGAATTTCCAGTCCAATGACAATTTTGATATAGAGTAGGTTAATCACCCTAGACCTCCATTACCCCACAGCTCAGCTTGATTTAGATATATGAGCACCGTTGGGAAATACAATATGGTGCTTAGGTTTTGTATTCATTCCAATCAACAATATGTAACATGGGTGCACTATATTACCAGAGATGTTTTCCATCCAAAATTCAAACCTGAAGCATGGATCCTAAAGCCCCTCAATTTCTTGTGGAAAAGAGGTCATTATATTATTATGCACTTTACAGGTCGTGTGAGCCTCGTAAGTTTAAGCGATCTTTATAATATTATGCACTTTGCAGATCATGTGGTCTGGTATGGGCTGTTCAGGAGGGTCAATTAACTGGAATTCGAATGGGTAGGTAAGTTAAGCAATCTTATTTGATCAAGACGGATGAAATGTTTGGTGAAGAAATTAAAATCAACTGAGCTACTGACATATGTGAAAGGATTATTTCCAGATCAGTACAAGTAGTGTGATCAATCTTCTGTAAGAAGTAATTATATCTATCAAAAGAGCAAGGGTACATCCTAGGTTTGACATGATACACCAGAAAATTGAAATACTGAACCTATAAACCAGATGTGCCTCATTTATTGTTTACCAGTTTTTTTGGGTAATAATGAGTTGGAAACACAATGCAGATCAAATTCAGAAATTAATGAAGATAAAAGTAGACTTACCATTGGATGAATTTGTTGGTTCGATGGATGAATTTGCTGGAACCAAAAGATACTTTATCACATTATTAGGTTCATCTAGTGTATAATTTACATTCCCACCCCAAAACACACACCCTACTCCATTGCCATAGTTGGCGAAGCCAACACAATTGCAATCGTTCCAGCATTTTTCCATACAATCACTGATACTTAGACTTGAATTGTTATCATAAGTGGAAGGGTTTCCTATGAAAGCTGCTCGCCTTTACTGAAATGTATCAACATGGCTCCTGCACTCAGGCACTGTAGTGTTCACTCAACCATCGTCTGATTGATAACCATGACAAAACTCATGTGGGGTAAGGACAAAACCACTACCATCAACAATTTGCCCATCTGGAATCAGGTTCCACAACATCCTTTCGTCACCAACAGAAAAAGTGAAGTAGTACCCATCACTAGCTAAAACATGGATTAAGGTTGTGATTGTAAGCAAAAGAATTTGAATCCAATGATGGCATATGTTCAAAATTCTGATCTTTCAGTTCCCCACTAGTCCAGTAAGGCTCTCCTCAGCGCTGAATGACCAACTGCCCAGACTCTTGGGTAGGTTCCCAGCTCAAAGTGAAAGCCCCGGTGGCCGGGATATCCCCATTTCTTTTTATTTTTCATTTCTTGCGTTGTCTAGATATGTTCCATTGCACTTCATTGTCAAAAATCAGGTTTTTAGACCATATTCATGGTCACTCAGCCAAGAAGTTAGAGTCCAATTCTGCATAGTTGTGTGGTTAAAACCAAGTTTCATACCTTGCAATAGCGTGCTGCCAGGATGATCAAAGCTCTGCCACAAAATCCTGTTTTCAGTTTCATCCATCACCACAAAGTTACCTGAATCTTCTAGTGTGGCACTAACATTTCCGGTCCCCACTTGATCAGAAACATTCACAAGAGTACTCCCTCCACTCATAAGCTTTAACCTTCCCTTGCTATCAATAGTCAGAACTCCAAAATTGTTCAAAATTGGTGTGTTAGGATTGGCAACCCATACTATCCTTATCTTGTCCCCATAGGTGTACCATATTCCTAAATAACTGGAAGCTGTCATGGTGGTGTTGAAAAATCCTAAGGTGAAGTACCTACTTTCATAAACAAGAAGACTACCAGATGAGTTGAGTTCATCGCCGTGTCGGATTGTGCTTTCTCCTGCTACGAGGGAGGAATCAAATCCCCAGAAGCATAAGAATGCACAAACTAGCAGCAACATAGATTCTTAGAAAGCTCTATTATCTGAAAATGTTAGGAGGAGGAGCAATTATTATTTGAAAGTGTAATATAATAGGCCAATCAAGCCGTGTCATTGACTGATCAAATGAATGTTCAGAAGATTAGTTGAATTAAAAATGAGTCCATTGGGTTGAGAATTTCAATGTGTGCCTGAGAATTTTCAACTGATTTTCTAGACCGTAAGTGTGGTGTGGCAACAAATCTTGGACCTTGCACACTGAGCTGAAATGTGACCTTTTGGCATTTCTGAATAATGTTCAAACATAGGGCCTTTCACACTGCTGAAATGTGACCTTTTGGCATTTCTGAATAATGCTCAAACTTAGAAAAGTCAATTCTAAACTTACTAAGGTTTGACCATTAGTGACTTGGATTGCTTTAAAATTTTGTTTTGGGAAACTAAAACAATTACACAACAATGATTATTCAAATCAATGTGAATTTTTTAACATTTGTGCACTTAGCTATGCATAGCTCAGTTCAAAATCATCCAATCACTTGGCCGCTTTGTACATGCTTGGTTTTATAACTGGTGGGAATGAACTGAAGGACTGCTGTTTAAATGAAAGCCGGTCATTCTTCAAGTATGTGTTGTGCGTCTCTCCTCCATCAAATTAGCATGACCTCCTGCATACACAATTTTCTTCTTGGACTAATATTTGACCCAATTTTCACACTACAAGTTTTTTAAAGGAGGAAAAAAAAAAAAAAAAAAAAAAAGAACAAGAAAAAAAGAACGTGAAATGATATGTTGATTGAATTTGGATGAAAAAAAAAAAAAAAAAAAAACCAGTCAGATTCAAATTGAATCTAACAATTTAAAACAAGAATTGAAGATGTTACATTGTTGTAGGATTCATGTCCTCCTCCTCCTCTTCTTCTTCTCTCTCTTGGTGTCAAATTTGTCCTATCAACAACATTGCAAAGAAACCGACACATGCGATGACCCTTTCTGCATTAAATCAATCATATCCTGACAATTATTACACTTTCTTGTTTATACTTCCTTGAATGTTAAATATAACATGTTATTAAATTTTTCATTCTTGAAACTTTCTTTTTTTCTTATTTTGTAGTACCTTTTTTCTTATGTGTGTTCTTCAATTTTATTAATAATGCTGCCTTTTTATTTGGGTATTTTTCTTTTTTGAGGCAAGCATACACAATTTCCACCAATGGGGAACATATGGAAGTTGCAACAGTCAAAACATCTTCCATTTGGGTTCTGTGGCTAAAATGGTTTTGTTATGCCTTGAAGGTTAAGATTAAACTAGTAGTTCAACTATGCATCTCCCAAATATGGTGGCTTGATTGAAGGAGAAATGGAAAATGGCTAACAATTCAGGTCTTGGTTGCTTCAACAGCGGCATGGGCTTGGTAGGAAGGAACCACAAGAGAGAATAATGTATGTGGTTCAAATTCAGTTTATATTGTTTTGGACCCTTTGTTGGCGGAAGCTATAGTGTATATCAATTGTAGAAGAAGTGATATGAGGAATGGACTGCATACTGAGTATGGTTCAAAGTGATGTGCGGAGCTTTGAATAGAGAGCTCATCTAAAGCTGGTTTCTAAAATCCATTTCATGGACTTTCTTCTCTTGGCTGAAGGTGCAATGCAAGGTTAGATATTTCTGATTCATGGGCATCAATTTCACTTCTATTATAAACTTTACACATTTTTTTTTTCATGTTTTCGTAATTTAGCATCAGCATGAAATTTGCACATTGTTTTCAAATTAATTTTTATTCAAGGACTCTGCTGTCTATATGAAAACTTATCAATCTTAAGTATGATAAGTTAATCCTATTAACAACGTACAAGAATTGAAAATGTTACATCAATGTAGGACTCATGGCCTCTTCTTCTTTCTTTCTTTCTTTTTTTTTTTTTTTTTCTCCTGTTTTTTTTTTCTTTCTTCTCTCTCTCTCTCTGCCAAATTTATCATATTAACAACACATGCCATCACCCTTCAGCAATTAAATCAATCATTTCTTCATTTTATAGCACTCCAAGCGAACTATGATAAAAAGAAGTGCATGATTTTCATAATGATCATGTATGTAGCTGTAGTAAAACAAACAAATAGCATTTTGACATTAAGCAGACAAAAGCAGTTACAATATTCAAAGCAATTGCCAAATACTTGAAGCATCAAAAGGACAGAAGTTTCTACCACTCATCGCGCCACCATTTCAGAAATGGTCAAACCATTTACTGAACGATCTTTTGAGCTACTTCCATTAGTTTCTGATGAAATTGCCTGAGGCACACTTCTTCCTGTTAAAAATGCTGGTTGCTTTGGAGCTGGTAAAGGCACAGTTTCATTGCTAAGCATGGAAATTACTTCTGACATTGTTGGCCTATCCTCTGCACTTTCTTGCACGCATAAAAGTCCCACATGAGTGATTCTCAATAAATGGTGTTCAGAGCACGAATTGCCTAGTGTTGGATCATTTAATTCCAATGCAGTCCCTTCTTTCCACAGCTCCCATGCCTGAGGCAATATTGTTTTCATTTCCATATTAAAATTATATTGATTTGTTATAGTTTAGAAAATGAAAATAAAAGAAATATACTTGGAGATACTTACATATCCTATTAGGTTTAGTGGACGATCAAGATGATAGAAGCTAGCATTTTTCCTACCACTCAAGATTTCAAGGACCAACACTCCAAAACTAAAGACATCAGATTTCACTGAGAAAATTCCTTCCATGGCATACTCAGGAGACATGTAACCGCTAAATCCAGTCATTGAAAAAAACTTAGGAGGTGAAGCACAAAAAATTTGTAAAGATTTAAAAGCTTCAATGTGTCAATCCATAGAGAACAACTTTTTACTTACTATGTTCCAACAACCCTGTTAGTGATTGCCTCCGTTTCGTTTGGCTTGAAAATTCTTGCCATCCCAAAATCTGATATCTTAGGGTTCATGTTTTCATCTAGCAGTACATTACTTGCTTTTAAATCTCTATGTATTACTCTCATTCTTGAGAATTTATGAAGGTAAAGCAATCCTTGAGCGACACCTTCAATGATGTTCAAACGTTTTTCCCAGTTTAATAGCTTTTGTTTAGCTTGGTCTGTATCAGCAAAAAACAATTTAGACAGAATTAGTGACATACATAGAGCTCAATTATGTAATAGCATAAATGAATTTGAAATGGTGTACTGCAAGAATTGAAACTAGGTAAGGTTAGAGATACTGCAAACCAAAGAGGAAGAAATCCAAGCTTTTGTTGGGCATGTACTCATAAATTAACATCTTCTCTTCTCCATGAATGCAACACCCCAGAAGTCGAACAAGATTTGTATGCTGGAGTTTGGCAATGAGTATAAGTTCGTTCTTGAACTCCACAAGTCCTTGCCCTGATGTTCTTGAAAGTCTCTTAATTGCTATTTCTCGGCCTTCAGGCAATCTTCCCTGTTATATATGATTCATGGATCATTGAAATATGTTGGACAAGTACTCATCAAGTGTGTTTTTTTTTTTTTTTTGGTTTAGTAAGTAGAAATCAACTTTGTTGACTAAAAAATGATATTTACCTTGTAAACTGGTCCAAAACCACCCTTTCCAAGCTTATTTTCCTCTGAGAAATTATCTGTGGCAGCAGCAATAGAGGCAAAGGTAAATATCTTCAAATTGCGACCTTCCCTCGCTTCATTTTCGGCCTCATTTCCATTGTTAAGGTTGTCTGAAGCTGTCAACTCAAATAAGTATTGTTCTTGCATTTTTTTCTCCTCTCCTGCAAGCGAAAACACTATTAATCCAACTAACCACTCACAAGCATATTCAGTCTCTAAATGTATACATATATGAAATAAGACATATACCTTCTTTTCTAAGCTTTCTCATTCTGGAATAGTAGAAGCAGCCTAAGCTAAGCATAAGTAGAGAAATAGCTACAGAAATAATTAACCATATCCACCACTTGTTTCCTGCATAAAAACCAAATGTCAAATGGCTCAATTCCCAACCGGTAAAGATTTTCATTACCACTATGCAACATGATTTACACCTCCACTGTTTATTTTGAACCCTTTCCGACTCAAATGCTTGGTGTTTTTCCTTCGTTTCCAGAACTTTCCAGTCCAATGACAATTATGAAAGGATTGCAATTTGATATAGAATAGGTTAGTCACCCTAGACCTCCATTATCCCACAACCTGCCTGAGTCAGATACGTGAGCATGCACCATTAGGAAATATAATATGGTGCTTAAGTTTTGCATTCAATCCAATCATCAATATGTGACAAAGGGTACACAATATCACTCAAGATGCTTTCCATCAAAAACTCAAACCTAAAGCATGGATCCTAAAGCCCTTCAATATCTCTAAAGGGATTATTGCCAGGTCAGTATAGTATGTTGACACTCATTTTGACAAAATTGTGTGGCAGTGACGTGGCGAGTAATTGGCTCACCATGTGGGGCTATTTTGTGATGATGTGGCAGCCATCATGTGAGTAAAGATTAAAACTACAGTAGTTTTTCATATGGGGAAGGAAATTACATTTTTTTTTTTTTGTGTTGTTGTTGTTGTTGTTGAATGGGTAAGCAGAAATTACATATTGTTGTTCCCAAAAGAATTGGGTAATTGACATGTGGGCCAAGGTTAAAAGGAGAATTTGATCAAGAGATAAAGACAATCCTTTTGTTGGATATATATAAACAGATAAATATCTATATTTAATGATTGGTTTCATCAGGAATCCAAAACAAATGATATGTGCATTCATGTAATGAAGAGATAGATATAAAGAGGCCCACGTGTTGATATGGAAACAGAATGCAGATCAGATATTCAGAAATTAATGGAGATAAAAGTAGAAGTACCTTTGGATGAATTTGATGGTTCTATGAATGAATTTGGTGGCTCTGTTGGCGAATTTTCTGGAACCATCACGTACTTTTTCTCAGTATCAGGGTCATCTAGTGTATAATTTAAATTCCCAAACCAAAACACACACCCTCCGC